AGAAGAAAGTTTTCTTGATTCATTTTCATTCGCCCATTTCATTTTCCACAGTTCTAATTCTCCAGACAGCTCTAATAGGGAACCAAGCAGGTCATCTTCATAAAACTTAGCGGCTTCAACTATAGTTTGATTCTCAACATTTTGTAAATTGACTGGAATCAGTCCAAATAGCTGTATAACACTATCATGGTCGGCTTTCGAAAATCGCAAGGCGAAAAGTAACTGTACTCTTCAGTAAGTCAGTCAAGTACCTAAGTGGGTGGGGAGTTGCGCACTACACATTCAAAGGAAGACGTGAAATATGCTGTTGTCATGTCAGTCGAACTCTCGATTGTTACGCTTACGATGTTGCCAGAGCCAGTCTGACGAATTATAATTCAGAAGATAAGTATTAGCCGCTACTCACTTAAACAAATTTCCGCGCACGAATGTTCATGCGCGAAAATTGTACGCCGCTTTAGGGTAAAAGGTTGTCCATGCCAAACCCCCAATCGGGGAAAATGATGTAAATTTTTTATATGGACTGGGGGGAGGGGGTCACCGGCCCCCTGTGACCCCCCCCCCCCCTAGATCCGCACCTGTTGCTCATAGTTCAAATTTGCATTTGACATTATTCGGTTTAAATGATTCTTTACTGATTTTATCCCTGCCTCCCATAAACCACCGAAATGCGGCGACCTGGCAGGTATAAAATTCCATTCAGTGTTATCATCGGAGCTCCAATTAAAGATATCGTGTTTCGTTTTCTTATCATTTAAAAATTTTTTCATTTCATTATGAGCCCCTACAAAATTTGACCCGTTATCAGAGTAAATAACGGCAGGTTTTCCTCGACGGGCTATGAACCTCCTGAAAGTATCTAAGAAAGCCTCTGTTGATAAACTGGTAACTGCGTCCAAATAAATCGCTTTTGTTGTGAAGCATATGAATAAAGCAATGTAACCCTTTATTAGTTTGGGATTTCTAGTACATCTGTCTTTCAAAAAGAGCGGTCCAGCATAGTCCACTCCAACTGTATGAAAGGGTGGGTTTGAAATTACTCTACTAGTCGGCAATTGGCCCATCTGTGGTATCACTGAAATTGGTGTGTTTTTAAAACATATGATGCATTCCTTACAAATTTTCTTACACATGATTTTGCCTTTCAATGGCCAAAACAATTCTCTGATAGATGATAAAAGTGTATAGGGCCACAGTAAAGCTGTTTGATATGCTCATGACGTAATATTAATATTGTTAGATGATCGTCTGCCGGTAATATGATTGGGTGTTTTTTCAGTTCTGTATGTTTAGAGTTAATAAGCCTACCACCCACACGTAAAATATTTTCATTGTCTAAATGGGGATTCAATGGTAACAGTTTGCTACTGTTTGGCATGATTTTTTTATCAGTAAGCGCTTGAATTTCTGATGAGAAGTGTTTGATTTGTACTAACCGAACTAAAGCATTTAAAGCTCTTTGTACTTCTTTTGCACATAATGGACCTGTTAAACGATTTTGTTTTAAACTGTCCGCATTATCCCGAAATCTAAAACAGTAAGCCACGACTTTGGTTCCAACACCTGGTACGTCTCGTTCCAAGAATGTTGTGATCGACACCAACTCGTTTTGAGATTCTGCCAGTCAACGTTATGGTACACCAAAGTTAATCATGTATAATTATAAATATGCTAACCTAACATTTCATAGGTCATCTCATAACGCCAAATAAGAAGAAAAATTGGTATACATCCAGAAGTAGGGCAGTGGAAACGGAACTAGACATCCGCATTAAACGACTTCAGCAACTTATGCAAGAAGAATTATTACCGTCATTTGAAATATTTCAAATGACAGTAATAATTTTAATCCTGTGTTCAACTTCAAATTCATGTGATATTTTTTAGCATAGCCTGATGATGGGTGGTTAACCCGAAATCGATTGCTTTATAGAAACAATAAAACATTTGTGGTTCCTTTTAATATTTTAAAGAATCTCAACGAACCAAAAAATGGAGAATTTCATTACATATGTGAAGGTTATACCTTATACCATATGTGTTATCATAAGTGTTATATTACGGTTATACTTAAGTTATAGCAGGATACAGCCCAAGGACGTTAAGGCTCCTCTGTAGTCAATCCGCCATATTGGAAAAATAGCTAAATTTTCTTATGAAATGCTGCTTTTGTAGTTGCAGTCTAACAAATTCTCGATAGTGGATATTCTTTGCAATGATGAAAAGAACGGCGGTACTTAAAAAAAGTTGAAATATCGGTCTTAAGTTTTTTAGGAAGATCGATGAATAGAAAAATTGTTTTTCGTAAATAACAGCCGTTGTAATGGGAGTAGAAAAACCTACAGCACCAATTTGGAAATCCGACAGTATTTCCTACGGCGGTACTTAAAGATATTATTTCCACCTATTATGATAACGCATATATTTTAAAAAATATGTGTCACGATCTTTAGAAAAAAATCAAAACGCTAACGTAAGGATAGGCAACTCATATTGCACTATAACTTCTGAGGCGAGAACTCATTACTTGAAAGGGAAAACAAAAGAAACTACCTGGCATTATCCTGCACATTGTTACACCGTTCCTAATGATATGGATTAGATAAATTACTATATAATTAGCTAATGTTCATGAATGCTGTTGATTTGTGAATCATACTGTCGCATATTCCCAAGACGAAAAGTGTACTAAATGCATATTTATTGTAGGTACATTGGAAATAATTTTTGATTTCTAAAACCTTTTTCATTCTATCAGGATGCTTCAAGAAATTTGTTTAGGAAGGTATCAAATAGTAGCCCAATTTTTAGCTAAAGCCCTAGCTAGGCGGAATACGACTGTACCAGTAATTAGAAACATTTTTGCCGCATATTTGTTCTTGTGTAGAAATGTGGCACCGTTTTGATTTTTTGGACTAACGCATGACCACCACACAAGCGGGTAGCACAGTATCACAATTCGCAAACACTACTACTGAGTCGAGACTTAGAGAGACAAGTGCTACTTATTTTTTCAATATGATCAGATATCAGGAATATCCGCTTATCAAAAAAATAAAGGCGCGACAAATTTCGATTTTTACAAATAAATTGGCGAGAAAGTTGCGCCCAATAGTTTTCACATTCTGAACCTACCATTTCAAAGAAATTCGATTACACTTGTTCATTTTAACTGTTACAAAAAATGTTCCAATTCCCTTTTTTAGCTAAAGTTCTAAACGGGATACGATAACTAATAGGCGACACTGACAAATTTATTTAAAAAAAGTGTTAATAAAGAGATTTATTTTAGGTGTTCGAAGTGCCGGTTTATTAGGCTCTACCATACCTAAGTCCTAAGTGAATTCATTCATGCACATGTCTATCTAATAACTATAAAAATCTATAAATCAGTCAAATTGATTAGAAAAACTCACAGGAAATAAAGGGGTAATTAAAAATGTTAACAAACAATGCTAATCTAGTCCACTAATGACCTAAGAACCAGGTAATTTACGCAATAGTAAAAGAAATAGGCATTTGTGCATCTCCATTCAAATCTTGTACAGCTTTTCGCTAAACTTGTTTACATAATATTAGTCCTTGACCATTATACGTGGTCTATTGTGTTTAACAATAAATGAAGAGAATATGCAAAACTGGAAAGGATAGAGATACATCGTTGCTCTCACTCAAGGAGTAGGTACATCGTCTAGAGATGTGTATTGTTGGTGGTCTAACCAATTGCAATAACATTGAAATACAAATTGACTACAGAGGAGCCTTAATTCACTGTACAATGTGAGGGCTTCCCAATTTAAACTGTGGATTGCTGCGTATATACGGCGTATACCTCCGTATTTTTAACAAAAGGGCATGGTATACGCTTCTAGGAAAAAAAGAGCAAAGTATACGCCGTATACCTTCGTATATCCCGGATGACAACCGCCCATAGGGCCCCTATGATGTGGATGATATTGATGAACTAGTATGCGAATTCAAAAATTTAAGACACGAAGAGGAAGTCAACATTTTTTATGTCAACTACAAACACACACTAAATGTGGAAGAATTTTGGTATAATATTGGTGGCGTTCGAGATTCTGAAGGACAAATGAAATATGCTAAACTAATCAATGTTGTAATTGTGTATTTTTGGAATATTTCATTGCTAAAAGGAAGTATATGCGTAAAAGTAAATAATGCAATACAGTAATTTAGTCATGTGCTAAATAGTATATTAAGTATGGAGAACGGTAAGGGATTTTTACCGTTCGAAGACAATTATTGTCTGAGAACGGTAACCCTTAACGTTCGACGTGCTTATAACATTTTTTGCGCGATCGAAATTAAAATTATCCAACCAATATAACCATGCACTAAGAAATTAACGAGCAGAATAAATCGAAATGATCGAAGTGGTATGGTGTACATCACTAGGCAACCAGTTTAAATGTCAAAATTGAAATTAATAATTTCATAAAAATGTGCATGTGTCTGATGTAGTTTACTAGCTTTGCACTACCTTTATGACTTTATGAGCGTCTTGCTATAGGAAACAACAGCACAAATTGTACGATTAATGTACCTAACAATAATTAAAGATTGAATGTAATGTAAGATTATTGATTTTTAAAAAGGCGTCGGTAAGTATTTTTGCTGTTCTGTTTTTAGATCGGTAAGTAATTTTGGCGTCGTCGTAATCATAGCAACTGGTAAATTCTACGTACTGTCATGGAAACACCCATGGTAAATAGTCAGAAATGACCGATCGCGCAAAAAAAATTATAAACATGTTGCCTTCTAGATACCAGGTTTTGGGGATATAAACTATTCGCAGTGACTGCTACCCCGTGCCCACGGAACTATAGTCCTCCAACTCTCGTTCCGTGCGCACGGAACAGCAGTTGATATATTAACTCCCCGTGCTGTTAATCTGAGTTATGTGATTAAATACGAAGTTTCGCATATTGGGCACTCTAATTATTTTTTCATAAGATACGTATAAAATTAACTTTACATCAAATTAACATTATTTATTGAGAATACATTATTATTATAAGAAACTTTACAGAGTTAAACCAAATCGAAATAAATAAAAAATGAAAAATAAAATTCAGTTGTTGGATGGACCTGATGCTTTACGCCTTTTTCTTTTTGTACCAATGACTGTTAACTCTGAACCCTTCGGTCTTCCACATTTAACCATTTTTGGAGGTATTTGTATTTCACGTAACACTGGAATAAACAATCTTAAAAAAATACAATATAGTAATAATTGTGTTTACCATATTTCTTGCTAGTTCCTATATTATCATGTTTGTTGCTGATGTTCGATTCTAAAATTTTTCCCACTCCATCTGAAATTTCTAGATTTTTTGATATCGTTTCTTCTGCTACTATTTCTGCTTCCCCTTTGCTGTCATTTTTCTGGAATACATAGTACTCGTAGTTGCGTTTATTACCATCCAAAACACTTCCTGTTACTGGTAGCATTTCTCTTTCTATCAATTCTACTTGTTTTGCGAGTTGTAAATCTTCTGGTTCTGATATAATCTCTGCTTCTAATATTTCTGTTCCTTCTGGTAATATTTCTGCTTCATGTCTTAGTACTTCCGAGTCAATTTCTTGAGATGGACAGTTGTGCGTATTATCACCCAATAAACTAATTGGTATTTCTTCTTCTGTTAATACAGTACCTGACGTTTCTGATTCTCCTGGCAGTTCTAAATCTAATGATATATCTGCCGCCTCTGTTAATATTTTGGAGTTAGTTCCGTGTAATTCGTAGTGGTTATCGTCCAAAACACATATTTCCGTATTATTTGATGAATTGTGATCATTACTTTTCTCATCAATCACTTCAACAATTAAAACTTTTTTCTTGCTTTGATAAAAAGACTTTAACAGTTTCATTTGATCCATAATTTCTCGGTATCTTTTATTCCCATATTGTGATATAGTAACAGCTAAGGAATTGCATAATTTGGAAGCCTCTCTAAATTTCTGGTGCTGATTTAAAACTGGCTTGCTTATGGTATGTTCAGTTAGTAGTTCATGGTTTGAATCATAAATGGGTAGGTCTTTCATAGTTGCTCGATGGTTTTCAAGGTAATACTTCACAAGCCATCTTTCATTTACCAACAATTCATCATATAATTCAGCATTGGAATGTCTTCTAACTGCTAAAATATGACGACAAGGTAACTTCATTTGGTTTCGAAAGCGACAAGAACAGTTGTCAACTGTAACACTTATTAATCCTTCTCTGTCTGAGTTGTAACTAAAAGTTTGATCATTTTCCTTCTTTATTTTTATAATTGTTGTAGGCAAAGATTTAAACTGCTTTTCAAGATGCGACCACGCAAATGCTGTTATCAATTTCATATATCGGTATTCGGTGGAAGAAGTTTGATAGTGAGTAACGGGGGTTTTGTACAGCAAAAGTTGGGCACTATGATCCCGGTCTATTCTCAAGGACTGTAACACTGTTTTGAAATCGGTATAAAATTGGCATAATGAACTATGTCTGTCAACACCCGATTTAATTTTTTGATTGATGCTCTCCAAACGATTCGTAGTGCTATTATTTAGAGTAAAACATGAACTCTTTAAACCTTCTACCCATTCATTTTTTATGTTATGCCAGTTTTCATCATAATACTTTAAAACATTTTTAACATCAAGTTTCTGTAATTCCTCGTAGTTAATATTATATTCTTTAAGAGTTGCCGAGTAAGCTATTTTTTGTATTACTTGAAGACACTTTTCTCTCGTTTCTTTTTTTATGGCCATCCTTTCAATAGTAATCTCCCTTCTAAATGTCCGAAGTGTATGAAAAAGACAAAGTAAAACGTCTGCGTGTGGAAATTCGTTCTTAAAAATATTTCTCTCTGTCATGTCTTTATCGGTTAATATTGTCACTGTCTTAACCCATGCCTCATTCTTGTATTTAAACGTTTTAATCATTACTTCGATAGCGGATTTACTCTCATCAGCCATCAAAAAAGTAGACACAATTTCACTTTGACCGTTACCATCTACTGCGAGGAGTATGTACAATGCCATATTCAGCTCGTTTAATTTATAAGTAGCATCGCATATTAACAATTCGGGAAATGTCTGAAAAACATGTTTCATGAAAAAATCTTGGTAATAAATGCCAATTAAATTGCCCTCTTGGTCGTGCGCGATTTCTACAGCACAGCCCTCATTTTCAGATAATATTGACACAATTTTCTCCAAATCGTTTGACTTTAATGGCAATCTTGTAACATACTTTATATTACGTATGTCTTTGCTCAAAATAATTTTTCCAGTCTTTTGCATGATGTAGTTTTGAACATCTTTCGGATTTGCTCGTAATTTTAGTAGTTGTTGAACTTCCTTTTGATCTTCGCTGTCTAGTTTCCTTTTTTTGGCAAAGTGCTTATACGCATCCTGTTAATTTTAAACTCATATCAATTGCAATAGCATTACCCATTCACAATGTTCAGATCATATTTACCATAGGGTGGCCTATGGAAAAAATTCCTCTGTAGGTTTGTGAACGTGTGTTCAACATTTAAATTGGGTTGGGCCAAACTTATCGTAAATAAGGTCTGATCGGATATTACCTACCACGTGCTTACAAAAAAACCAATATCTATCTTTTTTTACTTATTAAATTGATAAGTCAATATTAGCCGAATTTGTATTAGAAATACGGTGTACTACCCAATTTTTCTTGCAAGCGGTGTTGTAGGTACCTAATAAAGGCAACATCTTATGTAGTAGGTCTACATAACATGTTGCCTTTATTAGGTAGGTACCCACCTTATTTCTGATATGGTTGTGTTGATCGTGTAGTAATTTGCAAAGTAGGTGTTTACCATCTTCTGCAAGAACGAATTTTATTTTCATGGGGCATCCCTCATACATTGTACTAAAATAAATTGCAAAAAAAATATTAGTATATAGGTATATCTATATCTTAGTAAAATTATTTTCGATAAGTTATACGTACCTAAGTATAGATACCGATAATTACTTTTATTTAAACGGAAGAAAATATAAACATATGTACTTACGAAGATTTTCTTATCGCTTTTCCACGACTCTTGAAACGCTTCCCTCCTTTTGAACATGTATACTCGACATAGTAATACTTAAGGTTCCGATTTCCTCTTGCAGCTCTAGGATATTTTTTGACAGCTTTAGATAATAAACAGGAATCTCTTTTCTGTAGAGTAACGTAATTGGTTGCTTCATATTCTTTTATTTCTTGCTCCAACTGTTCCAATGTTGCAAATAACGCACCCTCCTTCATTTTATTATTGAAACAATATCGTGCTTCTAACCCAAAACAACCTAACCTATCTTAAATCACAGCTGATGTCTGAGCATAGTACGCACGGGGTGCTAGAATACCCACTGCTGCTCCGTGCGCACGGAGCAAGAGTTAGAGGACTATAGTTCCATGCGCACGGGGTAGCAGTCACTGCGTAAACTATTTTCATCAAACGCACCGCCTCTCTCCTTTTTTTTCACCGGCTAAAACTCTACTGCTGCCCTGCTTTGACAAAAAAGAGTACACGCCGTAGCTTTGGCAGTATATTTGCACTTACAGAACCCGATTTTTTTGTGAACCTGAATAAGCAAAGCTACTTTATACACCGCCGCGCATACGGTGGCTCTAAAAAGTACCGATCATCTACCGCAAATAAGATCAAAAGTTATAAACACAACCTAATTCTCAATGGTGGTTATCTGAAGTGTAATACAACTCTTAAGTTTAAGGTGTCCGTAATCTGATCTATCAAAAAAGGTATAAATAAAATGCTAAATGCGGTATTTTAGTGCTTGTAGTTAAAACGTACATCCCTTAGAATTTCATTCAGCATCATCCAATTTCATGAATGCTTTGCGGTATGAGATATAGGATATTGCATCTCTAGATTTTCTTTTTCGAACTCATCTCAATTTTATTACAATCATTAAACGGTTAGGAGATGTGCTATCGTTCATTGATGTGCCACTTTAGAATTGCTTTTAGCATTTATAGGTTTGAAAGTGGGTTAGTTCGGAAACTCACACGTTAACCTTCATTATTAAGGATGCAAAACCCACACCGTACCCTTAGCTTATGACAGACTTGTCCTTTGATTAAACTTCGAACAGTCTGTCAGAATTTACATTTTGGGTTGGGCAACTAATACAGAAAAAGTTCAAGCGCTGGCGTTATGCTCAGTTTTGTGTTAGTAATAAACACTAACGTGGGTTAAAAAGGTGTTTAGAGATTTCAGCGGTTTATATCAATATCCAGTAGCAGGGACGTATCTGGACAAAAATTTGGGGGGTGGGGGGTTAAACCATGGAATTTGATTTTGATAATAAATTAGGGATTTAAAAAAACTGTCATTTTTTAATAGGTGCATGTGTATTATATGAAAATATCAGGTTAAAGAAAAAACAAACAATTTAAAATTTTACAAATAGTAATCATAGTAGCAATTGAATATTTCTTTGCTTAACAGAGCAAGTCCTGTTAGTCGCTCTTGACCAGTAGAATTGCGCAAATAGTCTTTCAAACGTCTTAGCGAGGAAAAGGATCGTTCTGAGGAGGCAGTAAATACGGGTAATGTGGCCAGAATTTGCAACAGAATATGAATATTGGGGAAAAATGATCGATTACATGCTGATAATGCATCAAGAGCGTTTTTAGGCCTTTCTGCATGAGGCACTGCAATCCATTTTTGTTTCCACAACTGTAATTCTGCAGATACTGTATCTAGATCCTCCAAAAATTCCTCGCATAACATTAAGTCTTCTATTTTTGCTGTGTGTGTATCGCACATAGTTGGCAATAGAAAGTATAATGATGAAAGTAATTTTTCGTGCTTTGCAAATCTTGTAGATAACTCTTCAATAAATTGATCGAAAAAAGGAATTCCAATTGTGATTCGGTAATATTCTTCTGCGGTAGCTACCACGACATTAGAACGATTTTGCTGCCGTGAAACTATTCTAGTCTAGGTATTTTTATGCATTCTTCCTCATCTACAGACTTTATAAGGGCTTCGGCTTCTTTAAAAATATTTTTAAATTCTTGATTATATTCAATCTCATGTTCCTGATCTGATTGATAACAGTATTTACATGCTCAACAGCACTACATAGATCAAAATCTACAGTCTGTAGAATTCTGCATAACGGTAGAGTAAAAGCAAATAAAGTGGACGCGGTTAACATACTGATAATAAACTCACTGGTCATAATAGCTCGAAGGAACTGCAAAGCTTTTGAGGAAGTTTCGATGTCTTTTACTTGTTTTAGATCTTCTAATGTTTCAACCATTGGTTTAAACACTTCAGTAAACCTAATTAGTCCATCATGATTTTCCACCCACCGAGTTTCACACATGGATGTTAACTTAGACCACCTATTATTTGGAACATGTACTTTGATTTTATTTTTTAGCATCTCAGTGCGCATAGCTGATATTTTTATAAAGTTTGCAATAGATTTTATTGTTCCGATACAATTTCTGATACTCTGAACCTTACAGGAATGGGCAAGAGCTAAATTTAAAGAATGAGCACTGCAGTGCACATATATGGCTGCTGGATATTTCTCTCTAATTATAGCCTGCACACCATTAAAACTCCCACTCATTGCAGCAGCTCCATCATAACCCTGTCCAACCATGTAAGTGCAATTTACTCCAAGTTCTTGTAAACTCTCCAACATTACCGTAGCTAAATTTTTACCAGTAGTACTATCGACAGCTACAAATGTCAAAAAATCTTCTCGTAATGTGTCGTGTTCTTGATCAAAATCTATGTATCTTACACAGAAATATCTGTCGTTTCATCCATCAAAATCGAAAAGTATTTTGCTTTGTTTATTTTATCCACAATTTTATCTTGTATTATTTCGCCACAAATTTTGATGATATTATTTTGAATTATTGGGCTTATGTACATTGCGTTCAACGATTGTGATTGAATGTGATCAATTAAATTTTTGTCTCCACATGAGAGGCGCATACGAAGTAACGCCCTGAAATTTCCGTCATTATGAGTGGGCTGGTCCAAAGTTATGGGTCCAGAATCGGAAGATCCTCGTAAAACTAATTCTTGCCGCCCAGAGAAGATAATTGTTTCAATCATAGGAACTAGTTTTCTTCTATTTTCTGCAATTTGTTTGGAACGACTCGAATCGAGCTGCATCATGATATCTGGTGCAGATCTATTAAAAGTTCCAATAAAGTTATCGGCAAGAACAGAGTTTTTTTTGTGATAGTCGGTTTTACTGTGTTGAATGAATACCTCAATAGCATCTTTCCACTTGTTAAAAGGTTTTGCAACTAATGCGTTCAGCTTCTGATGATCTCCTTTTCCACCAAATTCATATGAGAAGACTGCACAATATTTACAAACTGCACCTTGATCACCTTTAGCAGTATAACTAAGCCACTGAAAGCGTTTTAGCCACAGTAATTGAAATTTTAAGTTTCTCTTTGTAGATATAGGAAACTTATATTTTTCATCCGGAACCCACCCAGCCGTCAATAGTTTGTACTTAAGAGCATCATCAAGTTTTTTTATCAAAACAACAACCGATGTCTAATTCATGGATATTGGTTTCAGACATTGTTGTTTCATCTTTATGCAGCATCAGATTTACTGGTTGGTTGCAACTTGCAATTTCTTCCGTCGATTCGGTTATGGTCGTAGTCGTAGAAGGTTTATTCTTTTTAATCAAAAAATCAGTTAAGGAACTTTGTAAACTTCGTTTCGCCATTTCGATTTATTTTCTAAAACAAAATTATGAATTAAGTCAAAACTCATAACTGATACTCACCACTCATCAGCATACCAGTGACAATGAATAGAATCACCATATCAAAATATGGAACGAAATTTACATCAAACTTCAGCTTTTTTTAAATAAAATAACCATTTGGTTTGTTTTAAGATCAATTTGTGTCATATTCAGACATTCACATTAGATAAAAAAATTTGTATTACCTATTACCTTTTGTCCTACTGCTGTTATAATAACTACAGCCTGCAGCGTCTGTTGACAGTGTATTAGTGTATACACAGTATTCTTCACAAAACGTCACAAATACTAATCACTATCTTTATATTAGTCTGTTATTTACTACTTTTAATCAACAAGTTAGTACACAGCAGCACAGAACAATTCAATTTCAATATGCTACGCGCCTACACCTATAGTTTCATACGCGCCACTTGCCGTAATATAACTATTTTTTTACTCGCGATGGGGAGCGTTTCACGTTTTCAGCAGATCTTGAGCCCGACCTTGAGTCGGCGTAAGTCACTCGCACGCAGTTCTTGAGTTCTTGACTGACTACTATCACAGATAAAATACCGTCTGTTGTGATTAGTAAAGGAATTTTTTTATCTTGAATGCAGAAAAGAATGAAAAGATGATTTTGCAGTTTAGAATTTTCTTTTTTGAGTAGTAAAGAGATTCAATTACTATTTTAATTTTTTATATTTATTTTATTTTATTTTACTTACGTTATAAGAATTTATTTTGGGGGGGGGGGGGGGGGGTTGAACCCAGTAGTTCAGATTTGAAGTAGGAGCTTTATTTCTAAAAATGTAGATGTTTAATAAAATCAATTACATCTAAATTGAATTGAATTTTCGTTTATACGATTTGATCTACCAACACTCCCTATGAAAGCTCCAACAGTAATCAACATATGTATATTCCGGTAGCCCTGCATCCCTCCTCCATAGTACAAATATCCTGCTGGAAGCGCTCGCCTCTCTAAAATCACAGGTTTTCTGGAAAACGGTCCAGATGTTGTGATTGTAATGTAGCTTAATAGTGTATATCCACTTAAAGGCAGCCGTCCGGCTTGGATTCGCGATCAATTATATTTCGATACACACTATTCAGGCTTTTTCTATAGTTCTAGAACTGAAATCAGTGACTGTCAGGTCCAGATCACACATGAAACTTCGTGTTCGATACACACCTACCGATTTTGGAGTAGATTTCAACCGGACAGGTTTGCGTGCACTTTGAAACAAGTTCTGTTCCGAGGTGGTTCTCAATTTTTGCTGTGCGACATGAATCCTAGCCTGGGTGCGTCAGAAATAAAGAAACTGACTGTATTCATTATTATAATGATTCTTTTGAACGACCCCGTGAGAAAAAAAAGAAAATTCTGGGGGAAAGAGTGGCTATTAGAACGCAATCAGTTTTCACACACGAATCTTTTGAATAAAATTCGAAAAACCTCATTTGGCGATCTTAAGAATTATTTGAGAATGGATTATTCATGTTTTAAAATGTTGTTAAACCTTGTTAAACCATACATAGAAAGGAAAAATACAAGAATGCGACAGTGTATAAGCGCTGAAGAACGGTTAGCTGTTACATTGCGTTTTTTGGCTACGGGACGTTCATTTGCCGATTTGCAGCAGAGCCTCAATTGTTGCCATAGTTTTCGTCTTTTGGACCCTTGATGGCGGAACCGGACTGATTTCCTCGCGGCGAGCTTTTTTAGCCTTCACGACTTTTTTGACTTTGATTGCAGGAGCCGGGGTCGGCGATATTATTTCTACAGAGGCCTCTCTTTCCTCGGTCCCATTTCTATAAATTGAAATTTTTTCCGAAATCCACAGAGGAATGGGAAGAAATAGCAAAGAATTTTGAATCAAGATGGAATTCTCCAAACTGCGGTGGAGCATTAGATGGGAAGCATTGTCAGAATTGTAAAACCATGTAATAATGGTTCCTATTACTACAATTATAAAGGCTTCACCAGCAATGTCCTAATGGCTCTCGTTAATGCTGACTATGAATTCATTTATGTTAATGTAGGCTGTAACGGGAGAAACTCGGATGGGGGTGTGATTGAAGAAACACGATTTTTTGACAAATTAAAAAATAGACTTAACATTCTCAACAATGATAGAACTAAAGACCAAATGAATTTTGTGTTTATCGCCGACGACGCTTTTGCGTTAAAGGAAAATCTCATGAAACTATTCCCTGGACAAACATTGACAAAAGAGGAACACATTTTCAATGAATTTGGTTCTCCAAAACTTTTTCCAGCTCTTTCTTGTCCAAACGTAGTTCTCTTTTCATAGATTCAGAAGTGAATTTTTTTAGACACCCATGACTTGGTTAGGTAAAACTACCCGAAACTTGTGTTACTACTTGCATCATATAATTCTGATGCAAGGAGTGATGCGTCCATAATGAAGTTCGTACCAAAGGGAATTTTCACTTTGTTTGAGTTATGTTATGTAATTGTCTGAACTATATCACCAGCCTCTGCAATAATTTGTGTCATTAAATTATGAATTGAATACTTTTTGCACCGATTGGAAAATTCTTGTAGTTAAAAAGTAGACAAAAGTACGAGGGAGGGTAAAAAATTAACCGCACTTTTTTAAAATGTTATTTACACAATGTAGACTTTAACAAAGTACCTCACTTTTCTACACAGTCCCCTCCCTTTTCAATGTATTTTGTCCAGTGGTCAAAAAAATGTTTTTTTAATACCTAATTTGAATTGTTCTGTCAAGAATTTAGCACCTGCTTCTTAATCGTTTTTTAATAACCAAATCTATCCCTTTTAATTAAAATAAAATAAATACGAAACATTACGAACCTCCCTATTGGATAATTATGTGATCGTTATCTTTCTCTCATTACTTCATTCAAATATATTTTACGCAGCAACAAGTGTAATAAAATTCCTTGCTGCAATTAGTGAAAACATCAACAGTTAAAACGGCGTTAGTTGGAACAAAATTGCACAAATGCACTTCAGAGCAATTTCCTTATTAATCTAGCATCCTTAAATGGGGTCGTTTGGGAGAAAAGTGTTTTACATCTTCTTTAATTAATTCAAGTGCCACTTGTTATTGCTTTAATACATTTTTGAACACATTTTACATTAACACAATTCAATTCACGATCGCAATAAGTAATCGCTTCTGTATGAAATCGAGCCAGTATGGAAATGTTTTCGATCTCGTGCTGCAAACTTCATGTTCGTGTAGGCCGATTATATGCTATATGGTTGTTTAATAATATATTATCAGCATGCCCGGAATCAGAGTCTTCCTAGAGGGCCAATCTAGATCATAAGTTAAAGTGGAACTATTTATTCATTGATTTTAAACAAGCATTTGACACCACAAATAGATCGAAGTTACTATCAGCTCTAGCGCAGTTACAAATGGTAAGAGCGCAACAGGCATAAATGTGGGGAAACATGATTGTAATAACAGAGAAAAGTACTGGAAAATTGTAGAAAGAACGAACAAATTTTTAATACATTTTAAAAATGTCCACTGTATTGTTTTTTTTAATGCAATTTACAGCTACCGACGGCGGGAAAATTTAATTTTCGGAGGGTTAATTGTGGTGACCGTAGGAAATGAAGGTTTAATAAGAGTTAATGTCAACGTAGATCTTGTATATAAGGAAACAAACAGCCTTACTTCCCTGCAACATTGTTGTTGAAATGTTGGGATTAACAGAGATCGTACTATTCGCAGTTGTGTATTATAAATTTCATTTGCAAGTGGAAAACGTCCGTAAGGCATTCTCATTTCTCATTAGCGAACGATCTTAAAGATAAGAAAAACGAAATTGTAATGTGTCATGTGCAATTTTTGCTACTTGTTTCTAACAAGAGTGTTTAGTACTTAGCTTCTATGGCGTATTGAAAGGTTCACATCAATCTTGGTTTTTTTTTAAATAATCAAGAGTATATTCACTTATGATAAGTTAATAATAATTATTATAGTGAAACTCATGTTTATTAAATGGCAGTTAAAATAATACTATACATAACCTTTTTACAAGATCTAAATACCGTGCATATAAATGAACAATTTGCGTAAGCAGTTTATTTTGTGTATTAAGATTGTAGGCAATTAAGTTTGCCAGTTTAGGTAAATTATAATACTCATTTGTTACGTTAATCTCTTCCCGAGTTGGGTGTTTGCATTTGATTTAATTATGACGCACAAAGATAAATTCGTTGTAAATATAGTTACATAGTATGCATTAACCTAATATTACCTAGTATTTTAATGATCTCATTTATAAATTAGTATCATATTTTGAACATTAATTACACCCTTTATCCTACTACTGCTGTAGCATAACTATTTTATTGTTCTTGATGAGAGGTAGCGCAATGCCAGACCACATCGGAATGCTAGTAAATGTCATTTTTCGTTTGATATTCAGTTGAACGCAGTTCGTCTGTTTTCTACAGGAGGGATGTTTTCCACCATATTTGTGGTAATCGGTGTTGGCATAGAGGAAATTGCATCGACTGAATTACTCGTACAAGTCGAGGTAGCAGTAATACGTCTAACAAATGACCATTTCAGCTATGCTCAATCTTCTACATACCGCTCGACTACTGTGGAAGACTTCCTAGCACTTCAATCCACTGCGTTTCTACAAGCATAAATTCCTTTGAGGATTTTGTTTTAGTGCGTGGAATATTAAATCTGATCATGTCATCCCGAACATCAAGATCAGTAATTTTCAGAATTCTATAACGCGCAAGCTTAGAATGCAGGGCACTATAAAATACCATGTGCAATTTGAAATCAACACACGCCGCTGATCGGCCAGCTAGCTCGGTTAGCCAAATAGTTAACAGCGTAGAGAGATATGCTCGTACTCAGGGTAGTAGGTAAGTGAATTAAAAACTTTGACAACAAATCATTATAAAAAGTTCCAAGTAAATCACCGCCACTAAACCTTACTGGTGCTTCGATTCAAGTCTTTCGGGCGCCACCTAATTCCGCTTACAATTTTATCTGCAGCCACCGGAATTAGGAAAGGTAGCTTCAGTATAATACGAGTCAACAATAATTATTGATCCTAAAGGAAAATTATTGTTTATTAATCAAAGAGTATGCAAAATTTAAAAAAATGAAATCTTCCCATGAACTATTAACACAAAAATTAACCCACCAACAACCCCTGATTATGTGACACCTCGTACCGCTAAGCAACGACAAGTATAATTGAAATGATGTACTATAATCGGTAGCTTGAGGTGTTGAAGTTATCGTAGTAACGAGCTCTTTACCTTACAAGTGATTACTTCTCTAGAGTAATTCGTAATTGATAGTTAAACAGTCCTAAAGATCAAGCATACTAATTACACGTAAAAAATTCCACTTACATATGTGGGTCAAATAAACTGTTCATAGATATTTAGATCTTAACCACAAAAAAGAAAAAAAAATTGAAGGTACGTCACCGCTAACGATAAATTGTGTCGGCAATTCCACAGGTTCCTGAGGCGCTTTCTTTCGGTGATCCAAACGCGTTTGGATTGTCAAATCACGTTCTTTCGAAGTGTAATATTATAATCATGATTGCCAAAATCGTGAACAAACTGAACATAAAAGTTTTATGATCACGAATTCCTAACCTATAAATGCAAGGATATTTTTGCTGAAATGTTAGGTTAGTCCATATTTGTAACTGAAGAGGAGCATAATCGCGCAAGTACTTCCACTTGAATTTAAATTATTTTCATAATTCAAACAAAAAATACGTAATTCGAATGCAAATATGTGTACTACGTAAACTTAACCGCATACGATCCTACGAATCACGATTTTGAAATCATGATTGCGAAGTAGCCGAAAGAAAGCGCCTCTGGTGTAACCAAAAATAACTCCTACGGAGGTAACAAAGCTTGTGTTCCAGGTATACTTCTCTCACGATCTACGTTCGGCTACCCTTAAGATCTTAATGATTCTACGGGATGTTTTACAGCACACTCATCTGCAGTAGGCCGTTTATTTCCCCGGATTCAGCTGAATATTAACTCCCTTGCAAAGACTCTAAAAAGTAACCTAATTACGACTACGTTATAAATAATGCTAACCTCTTATTCAGAGAGTACACAAAAGAAAAGAACTGGATACGTCCCAAATGACTTCAAAATTTACTATATGGTCGGTATTTGTTCCTCTACAATAGAAAAAAGAACATCGGTAACCTCAATTCGTGCACAAGAAAACACTTACGATTTGGAATGCTTGAGTTTTCCGTATTAAAAGTCCAATTTGGAAAAAATTGTAGCCGAACGTCCAAAAACAAATTGTCGGCACAACGGGTAATCGATTGATTAAAGATGCTTCCGCTAATTATTAAATCAATTCGACCATTGGAAAATATATCAAACACCCAAATTCGGGAATCTAGCACGACCGATTCTATTGCAGGTTGCTGGAAGACGCCACAAGTTTCGAAATTTTACCCAAGCCAAAGCTACGGATAGTTATCTCTGACGAATAGTAGAGCAGTATTTGATACTTGACCATATAAGGTAATTTAATTGTTAACATAAAAAAAGCAAAACAAATTAAATGTCCTCTAACGACAAGTTAAATCGGAGAGGCAAACACAGAAATGCAAAAGTAACTAGAAATTGGTCGCATTCAATGACCCGAGAAAATTTAGAAAATACACAGGTGGAAATTGAAATATGGACAGAAATGTTAATATTATTTTAAAACTGTTACAATTCGTCAGTAAGACATGCACCAGCGATTCCTATCACAAGCATAGCCTGTAATGTAAAAATTACCAGTGGCGAATTTTTGAATTGTAAATTACCTTTGTAGAATGAAAAGCGTCGATCTCCTTTAAAAACTGCGGATTTTTAGCGCATTTTTGCAAATTTATTTGTATAAAGTAGCTTTTAATCTCACTTTGGCTGGCTGGCTGCAAATGTGGGCGCGTAGAAGAACTCTTGTAGAAAGGCAACGGATGTACGTGTATCTACAAGGCCGTGAAATTTGTCAACCTTAGGGACATGGCTACATGATGTGGGGTTGACGATATCTGGGCGTCATCCTCGAGCGTAGTATACTAACGTGAAGGTTTTTCAGTTTTTCCTATCCTGTACTACAGTTTTGGTCCGATTCTTTTCAAATTGGTGTCGTCGGAAAGATGTAAACGCGCACAACTCCTGCGTGGCGGAATTTTGTTTTTTGTCATAGGGGCGAAATTAACGACGCGTCTTCGAGAAGTAGTCAACTTCGGGCGCCTTTTACCTTCCGTTGCGAACTCACGCGGTTAAACTTTTCGTAAATCTCGAATCGCTGTCTCTCTTTCTCGTGTCGCCAATAGAAGCGAATTGCGGGTGAACGAGACGTCGGAAGTGGCTATCGTCAAAGGGAATGTGGTAGCCCCCGACACGATTTTAACTTTAAAAGCGAATTGCGGGTGCACGCGGAAAGTGGGAAACGGTTAGTGAATGTAGTAGCCTTCGACAAGATCTGTTATTGATGGTTGAGTCGAAAGTGGCTAATAGAATACTGATCTGCCACACAAAAATGCGCTGAAGTCCCTTCGATCTCACACGAGGACTTTGATAATTTTTTGTACTTGTATGATTCATTTTAAAAATGCTTTTCTTTTAATTTTAATGTATGCTTTAACATGGAAAATATAGACTGGAAGCTTTGCGATCTTCAGACCGCTCTTGAAAATAAACGCACCACATTCTCGGATACTTGTGAAACGTCCTTGCCTTTGCACCATACTTCGAATAGGATTTAATTTAATAATCTTTTGATTTTTGTGGAGTGAACGTCGTGGTTTCTTCATTTTTATTAACTTTGATACGTCCGCAGTACAAGAAGGAACTAATTAAGTATTTGTTTCAGAGCCATCTCCTACCTCATCCGAAGCCTCAGCCACAATCACAACAGGAAATGGAATTCCAATTTGTCCGGGTAACGGTATTGCCACCACCGCTACAAATGTAGGCGTACCTGCAGGCCGTAAACGACCGTTATTAACGGGCGGACCGAGAACCTCCATGACTCCCACGAAAAGAACGGTTATGAGTCTGCTAGCCCGCGCGAGGGCCGCTCAAGCCAAACAGATGCCCGCGACGTTTCAAAGGGGGACAGCGGAGTAAGAATTATTCACTTATTGTAGCAAGGCTACGCAATAGTACTTGCGCTTTTGGCTGTTGGCAAGAAACTCCCTTTGTAAAGATATAAAGTATATCACGGATCTCCGTTGATAGTAATTTTGGATACAACCTAATATATCGGAACCTCAAAGGAGTTCCTTAAATTAAAATGAAACATTAAGCCTCAAAACGGGTAGATAATGTAGCGGGAGTTCAAAATTATTCTTGCAAACTTCTTCCTTCGTTTTTAGTACCTTTCGTACTGTTACTTCCACATAGGCAATTCGAAAAGAATAATACGCTGCGCGGAAAACAAACGGGAAATTCAGTTTTTGTTTTATTCCTTTACGATTTCTTATAGGTATTTTTAATTCAACGCAAATTACCTTCGCGTTATTCAATAAGTTCTACTTTATAACTTATAACTCTTCTACCCGCGGCTTTCACAGACCGCCTTACGCTTTCCCAGTCAGTCTTCACTTATCACTTCTACGACGTGTGTCCTTTAACCTAATACAATCTCATGATAAGAATAACTTGAAAAATACAATGTGAATGTACAAATTTCCTTTAATTAAAAATGTAGAGACAATAAATAGTTAACTTTACATAGAGTGTTCATTAACACCCGTTACAATAACTATGCTGCAATATAATTTAATAATCAATCAGCAAATATAAGTGGCGCAAATGAATAAGGCTGCCTCTGTCAAAGGAGTTTATTTAAATTTTCAAATAGTGTTACTACAGACAAAGTCAATTTCGAGGGGGTACTTTTATTGTTTCTGATTAGCAATCGATGTTGGCCACAGAATCATCATCAAGCTTAGCTAAAATGAATGGCTTTATTAATTTTGTAACATTATTTTGTGAGTAGTCTAAATACTCATAAAATAATAGAAATTTAAGAAATAATACAGAATGTGAGTATTTAGGAATGCATACACAGTGATAATTATTCAGAAGTAGACATAAGGAATTACGTGTATTGTGTTTCCCTATGTCTACTTTTAGAAACAATACACGTTAATCCCTATGTCTACTTCTTAATAAATATCACTGTATATAGATTTCCAACTGATATACAATAAACGTATCGATACAATGGCCCGTATGAATAAAAATAAGCAAATGCTTATACTTGCAAAATTCAAAGTAAATACTCTGCGACGAACTTCCCCCTTAGCTCGTGCACGAACGGTAGCTTAAATGATGAAAGTACAATTATTTCAAGTTCATTTAATGGATGACTAATAATGTAATTGTACAATTCAATTATCATACAGTAGACGGTCGGTCGGTCTCTCGGGCGCCACCAAGACTTAAACTGCACCCCTAAGTCTTGGGAAAGGGGCGGTCCTGTCGGACGGGGTGGAAAGCCTCCGGGTATCCTCTAGTGGAGAACGGAATCTACCAGGGATCGGTGGCGGCGGTGCTTCCGGCTTATCTAAAACAAAATATGGCCGACGGCCCGGACGGTAAATTTCCTAAAGGGAATAAAGCAATAAAGCACAAATCAATTAGCGGTGTCTAGGGGAAAGAAAAGCGGAAAAGCAAGGAGAACAGAATATACTTCCCCCCCTTAATCAACGTAAATGAAAATTAAGCGCTTACCTTTGTAATTAACGGTGGTAATAAATTCAGCCAAACGGTGATAACACTATCGATAGAAAATACGGTAAGCGTAAGGCGGTAATGAAGCTTAGCGGAACGGTAAGCAAAAGTTACGGTAGTGCAAAAAGGGAAACTCAAAACGGTAGTTAAACGGAAAGGACAACGGATTGACTTACGGTCGCTAAAAAGGGAAAACGGTAAAACAAAAGGGTTTCGGTGGATTCGGAATGATACGGTTTCGCAAATTAAAGAAATCAAAAGGCGTACTTACAACTCGAAAGTATGAAGCAGACAAGATCCCTCCCAAAATGAGCATTTTCCTTTTAAAGGAAACCAATTTTGGTAGAAGTGGAACAGGGAATTTCCAAAGCCGGGCGGTGCTCGTACCGAGCGGTGTAGAAAATAATTCGGTTTTTAATTAATTGCGGCTCCTGTGGTTATCTTAAAAATCTGGGACAACTTGCAAACAAATAAAAAAATTACAGCGCCTCTGTGGAGAGACGGTTTCTGACAAGGTTTACTACTGCCCATTAACATGACATTAATTAACAGCGCTTACCTAATTAAGCGTAATCAAACCTAAGTACTTATCAATCCAATCTGCAACTAGCTCCTTTGGACTTTTTTTCTCAAACGGCGCTATCGTTTTAACATTCTTATCGCAACATGCAGGCATACGGATGGGACTGCAAAACTTGTAAACAACTCGATTTGAACTCGTTCTATCATTGATTTTACTTATTATGGAAATCTAAAACATCTTACAAATAATTAACGGCGCTGAAACCAAAGAATATTAATTGTCCCTCATCTTCGCCAGGACAACATCCTTCGGTGGTTACAAAAATATCGCGGACTTCTTGCGTAACGAAGCCCAAACCAATCGTTACTATACTGGGTGTTCTTTGTAAACGGCAAACTTAATGGAGAAATTCCGGGTGCTTCGTTACAACTCGTAACTGCCCCTTCATACTGGTCTGTTTAGCATGGTTTAGCAGCGCTGCACTGCGTCCTGTCCTTCTGCTTAGAATCGCTGCTAAGTCGCCCAGTGTGAAAGAGCACTTACGAGTATTTACTTTGAATTTTGCAAGTATAAGCATTTTCTTACTTTTATTCATACGGGCCAAAGGTTAAGAGAGCCACTGGATGCCTATATTTATTAAAACTCAGTAATTATGGTGATAGTATTGATAGAATCAACTGTATGATATGCCGTCGGAGTAAGGGGATGTGCAGAAGCTGTAACTGGAAAAACAAAAATTATTAGAAAAAACACACTCTCAGAGGTTTATAAGTTATTCACGATACTTACATTTTAGAGCGACAATTAGTATAAAACCTCCTTGCACATTCTTGTGTGAACTTTTTCCGGACGCTCCCGCACCAACGGTGTCTTCGGTTCTCCTTCAAAAACAAAACACAGATTAAACGGTATAATTACAAAATGAAATTTAATGACAGTAAGAAAAAAAAATCCAGCGGTAATACAAGACTCTGCGAACGGCGGCAGGAATCGGGAGTGCTTCGGGCGCCACCAGAAGGTTTTCGGAAATCCCGCTTCTGGTCAGGGTTCGGAACGGCGAGCCCTGGAATTCTAAAGGGCAAGCGGTGGGAGGCTACTGGTAAATGCTAAAACAAACTTAAAAGCGCACAGCAATTTCCCTAAGCGGGAACAGTCAATACCGAATTCGGTTGTAGGTTCCCATTGCAATATCCCCGTCTAATAATTAATTAAACTAAAAGCAACAAAAACTTACCTTGTAATTAACTGAGCAAAAAAAAGCAAAAGCTATAGTAGCGGTGCGTTAAATTTAATGTAAAAGCAACAATTAAATCTGTCTGAATCCAAAATAAGAATCCAAATACGGTTAAAATTCAAGTTTTTTAAGAGGCGGGTACTGTTCAACCAATTACGGTTAATTATACTTATCCAAATAGCGGAATGAAATCTCCAAATTCGGCAGCCCAGCAATGCCCTTTTGTTCCTTGAAATGTGAGGTCAAACGACGGGGTCTCCTATATCGTTGATATTTTCCTTAAGCTGTACGACCTTGCCGGTAATTTACAAAAAGAGATCAACTCGTAGTCAGAAAATAATTATCGAAATATACTTCCACAGGAGTAACGGAGTTGTAATAACGACAAGATAAAATATTTTAACTTTGAACTAACGGGTCCGAACCACTCCGTGCTCAGAAGGGTGCTTTCTGCCAATAATCTGGAATCAGATAAAAAGAAAGAGATAGTAATAGCGCGGCATATAGATGCGAGACAAATTAAAGTTTGGCACGTCGGGTAACTCGAACATGAAAAATCGTAACTAACATTCAATTTACGTTAGGTAGAAAAAGCAAAATGTTGACTCGACAACGATCTGTCGGTATAAACGGCCATTTACAAATTTAATCTTTAACGTCAATTCAAGAAAACTACTCTACAAAGCAAAAATAACTAAAACTTCTATACAGATAATTTTTTTATACTTCCTGCGAAACAGGACGGGCTCAACTGCTCCATAAGTATACCAGGAAAGTACACTCAAGTACAGACGGCAGCTACAACTCAAAAAGAGAAACCGAATCAAGAGGAAAAATATAAACGACAAAATCAAGTCACAAGCTAAAAGAAAAAAAAAGGAAAGCATTTCAGGAGAAATTCAGAACCAACCTAACAAATGAAGTACTCAAAATACGAAGGGCAATAGAAGATAAGTGGAGATATTCCAAAAATGATATCCTAAAACCAGCCAAAGAATCATGTGACGTATCAAAGGCTAACAACAGCGAACGAAAAGCAAATGGTAATTGGGAAATACAAGGGAAGATCAAAGAAAAGAAACAAAAACGGAAGAAAAAAGCAATCATGCCAAAATTTCGGGAATAAAATGAAATCAGAAAACCAAAACCTGTTTTATAGTACAACGAAAGCTTACAAAACATAAAGGACAAAGAGGGTATCTTGCTAACAGATGAAACAGAGATTATCGATCGATGAAGATAATACTTAGAGATTCACAAGAATTATCGAGAACAGATCGAGAGGAGGATTAGAGACTGTTACAGAAAAGTCACATGGGTTTCGAAAAAGTAGGGACACACAAGACCTAATATTTACATGATAAGAGTAGTAAAAGCTTTGCATAAAAACAGTACATACAAAATAAGGCAAAGAAAAGTATAAGAATATGTTAGGATACTGAAAGATGAAGGCAATACAAGTGCAAGATATGATATTTATGTACCTAATAGTGGTAGAGTGAGAAGAAAACTCGGAAGAAAAGGTATGTACAACATAACATGAACGAACACCAAAAACGGTAAATGAGGTTAAAGAACATAAAATAAGAAATACTCAAACATTTAGGAAAATCTTGGAACTAGAAATACAATGGTAAAAAAAACGAAGAAATAAATGCCAGAATAACAAAAGTGGGAAGAATATACAACATGCTTAAAACATTCTTTGGAAAAAAGGAAACCTCTAGAGAGATAATACGAACGTGACGTTAAGCGAACAAAACAAAAGCAGAAGAATAAGAATAACTAAAAGACGTAGAATAAGGAATAAAGTAGTGTGGAGTAACACATCCAAGGAATAGAAGAGGTTATAGAAGAAAAAACAACTGAGCTAGCTTGTACACCTAACGGGAATGAGTGATTAGTGAAAGATACCCAAGAAAATAATGAGGCACGAGTACTAGAACAAAACAGGGTAGAGAGACCACAAACAAAATAGGTAGAATTAGTCAGATAGACAGCAGAGCAGAGGCTGAAACGCATTAGTTTCCTACAATATTCGATAGGGGCGTAATATGCAGTCTAAGCCGGAACAAAGTTCACAAAACCTTCCAAAAATGTATTATTCAATCTCAATGTTTCAATAATTTCCAGCATTTTTTCTGGATAACATTATATTCATGACTTTCTGCGATACAACCGCCTCTCATTTTTATTTGATCTCCTGGTACAGCCGTAAAGCTCCTTAACTATACGTTATGCAGATTTACAAACGGTTGATAAAAGCATACATTATTGTGTAATTGTTAAAAATGCACGGCTAGGCGACTAGTTTTCATTCACGCTCACCTTTTAGCGCATTTCCACAAAAATAAAAAAAAATGCGCTATTGTGGTCACTTTGTCCGTCCGCTCGTTCGTTGAGACGGTACTAGTTCTTTATCTTAAGAGCTATTGTTCTACTTTTCTCGCTATTTGGTTCGTTATGGTATGGAGGCTTGCACCAGGGAATGAATTTTTTATGCGTTTATTGCTAAAAAAGTTATTGTAAAAAAACCAAAAAACCGTTTTTTACATGTTCCATAATTTTACACTTTTGCCGTTTATTTGAGATCGTTTATAATTTTTTCTATTTCGGTGTCACAATGATGATTTTGTACAACTGTTTTCACAGTTGTACAAAGACAGTGATTATAGTCGTTTTTTTTGGGTACTCATCTCTTAAGTTGGCAGTTACTAGTTAGTAGAAGTAGGTACTTCGTTGGGTACTTCCATGTTTGAACTTCAAAATGTCAGTCTTACTACGCTGCCAACCTAAAACTTAACGGCATAAAAAGTGTTCCCAACATAAAACATGTTAGTTCTAATGTTCCCTATAGTTTCTGATAATGATTTTTTTAATTAAATGAAAGCACCGAAATAGAAAAAATAGTATGAAAAACGCGTGTTACAATGCTTTCTTGTAATACTCCTATCTTGCGGACACTCGTGGCTACGCTTCGCGTCGCCACTCATGCCACAAGATAGTCGTATTACAATAGGTCGCATTGTAACACTTGTCTTTCAATATACTATTGTATTGCTGTCTGTCGTCTGTCTGTCTGTTCCTCTATCTGTCCGCGTGAACGATAATTTTGTTTAGAAATGTCCGATCGCTTTTACATCTCCGTTAGTTATGAACTTTTGTTTCTATGGAAGCATTTAAATGAAATTCTTCTTGTAAACAGAAATTGAAGTAGCACATCAAAAATGGATTGCACCTATGCAACGCTATCTTTCATATTTGTGGCCGGATTTTTACAATTTTAACAGAAGTTGCATCTTACAAATGGGAAATGAATGCAAGTGGAATAGCGCTTTTTGTAAATCGTTTACGATTACTTTTTAACTTGTTTACGTATGTGTGAAGAATATTCAGTCAGTAATTCGATGTATCATTCTTTCAGCCCCGTATCCGTCACTTCGATTCTTAAGTTTAGTTTAAAACTCGTTAACGGGGCAACAAACCTTACCTACAGATAAACGGTTACTCGTGAAATTCTCTCACTCGATTAGTCTACCTCACTTCTCAATGTTCATAAAGTTTCGTGGTAACCTCGCATTTTAGATTTTCATTAAGGGAGCATGCCGTTAACTCACAAAGGGAATTTCTAACCGCTAAAAATCAAACAATTAAATCTTGCATCTTCATAAAATAATGATAAAACTTCTTTTCAAAACTAAACAAAAATTTAATAGATCAATAGTGTCTGGTTAAGGTTATCTTTATTTTTTTAGGTTTTGCATAAGTGATGCACTTCCAGTCGGTTGGAACGCTTATGAAAAATTGAGTTCTCCACGAAAAATTATTGCGAGGTCAAGTAGTGGTTCTATTTTAGAAAGATTTGAATTTCTGTCGTGACCAACCTTATCTTTAAGGTTAGTCAGCAAAATACGGTATTCTTAACCCTGCGTTACCCGCGTGGTAGATTTGAACATCGTTACTCGCAGGTGAGCGCGGCGCTCACCATTATGTAATACTAGTATATAAGTGAATAAATAGAGGTATTGTTTTGACGAAAATGAATTTATTAACTATAAGTAACTTACAAACAAAATAGCGGTATAATACTAACTTAAAACATTGTTTCTTGCTCAATAAACGAAAATCGTAGGTACTTAAAAAAAATGTCGAACACTATTATTCGTCTTCTTCTTCAGCATTCTGTGCGCATCTAATGCAAACTGTTGATGTATGTTCTCTACAAATGGGAGTGGAACATTGTGCACACTTTGCTCTTGTATTCCGGTTTTTTTTTCTAGGACAAAATCCACACTTGGGTCTTTGTTCTTCTGAATTGTTTTCTTGTAAAGGAACATTTACCACTGGGATATTCAAATAATCCCTTATCTGTAGACCAAGAAGGTAAGGTAACTGTAACTTGACCCGATGATAAAGATGTGGATGTATCAACTGGTCTGCCAATGCCTTTAGGTACATACGACGAGAATCTACAGTAGTGACATTGTTTGAGCGGTGAATGATGTACCCATTTATTCCTGCGATGTTGAGTAGTGAAAAAAATACAGTCATGGGCCACCTACATGTAATCCTCGCCACTGAGTACAAGCTCTTCAATTGGTCCACCACATCAACACCTGCTTTATTTTTGTTATAAAAAGTAATGACCGCAGGCTTACAATCTTCTGCAGTCGTTTCATCTACGACATCATCATCGTGAAATGTTGAAAGTAAGAGAACGTTTTTGTTTTTTTTGGGAACATACGATACCAACAAGCTATCTTGTCCAAATCCAAACATGCTGCTGTATAAAGGTCTTGATTTCGTTTCAATAAATTGAGGTGGAATTTGAGCCTTATTTTTTCGCAATGTTCCTACTAATGTTAGTCTATGGTTTCTGAGGAGGTCCAGGGCCAAGGGTACTGATGTAAACCAATTGTCGCATGTAATGTTGCGCCCTGACTTAGAAATTGGTTGAACTAATCTTGTTACGACAGATGATGCGCTGTTGTCAATTTGAAAGGGGCCCAGAGGTTGTTTACCTGCGTAGATTTCCATATTCATGGTGTAATAACTCGAAGAATCGACCAAGGAAAATATCTTAATACCGTATTTATTGGGTTTAGAGGGTATGTATTGTCGAAAACTGCAGCGTCCCCTAAATCCCTCCAACATTTCATCAATGGTGCAGTTTGGACCAGCTTTATAACACGATTTACACTGTTGTAAAAACATCTCAAATATAGTTCGAATAGGAGCCAATTTATCTAGCTGCTTCCGTTCATCTCGAGTTGCCAAATCGTCGAATCGTAGAGCTCTCAAAAGCAAATAGAACCGATTCTTCGACATAACCATTCGAAAAATCTCAGGTGCAGTTTTGTCTGTGGCCCACATGTCTTTCAAGTTGGTATGACGGGATTTCAGCACTCCTGCTATATAAAGCAAGCCAAATAAGGCTTTTACTTCATCTACATTGGTATCCAATACGTCTCTTTCACGAGAATAATTAGGTCGAATTGCAGTGAGATACTTATTCGTGCAACTTACTATCAATTCAAGTATATCATCCGTAAAAAATAGTTTCCATGTTTGGTAAGGATCCGTAGCATCCTTGGCTAAAGCAGTAACACCTGGAGATTCTCTTATTATATTACATTGACGAATGCGGCCTCTTCGAGGATTTTGGTGCTTCCTCCATAAGGTTACGTTATCTTTACCTATATAACTTAGTCCGCCAGGCGAGTGCGTAATAGAATCGGTGTCAGATTCATCCGCGGACACTTCTGAATCTGTTTGATGATCATTATCAATTTCAATACAATCTTCATCACTTTCCTCGTCATCTAATTGTTCTTCAGGCACTTCATTCTCTATTCTGTCCTCTTCCTCTAACTCCTGCCATATTTGTAGCAATCTGGCTTCTTCTTTAGGGTCCATTTGACTCTTTAACACACTTCGAACACACCCATTTATGCAATTAAACAAATAAGTATTAAATTTCACTTACCGGCAAATAGAATTTATTGAGATACGTAGTTACACGCAGGTGAGATTTGCGCTCACTTGGTGACATACACACATAAACAACGGCAAAACACCACTGACGTCTTTGAAAATCGACTGCTTATGTAAATTCACTTATTTCTGAAAGTCATGCGCACAATAAAACGAGCGGATTATTTACAATTCCCAAAATATCGCAAGCGGCAATAAAAGTACAATTCAGGTGAGCGCGGCGCTCACCCCGCGGGTAACGCAGGGTTAAGGGGGGAAAATGCTATGTAAACCTGGGGGTGTTCCCTTTAGGTTGAAATAATGCCGACAATAAGGGTATGCCTTGTTTTATTTGATTTTAGTCATAGTCATACTTTACGACCTATTCTTATATATGCCTAGCAAATATAGACAAAAATCGGTCTAACCTTGGAGTTGTACAACCAGAAACACCATGGCATGAGATTTTGCTATATTGGATTAGGAAGACTTTATTTTTCCAATATTTTTTTCCGCAAAACGGTTATTTTTATTTCGTTTAAATTTTGGTAGTGTACCTACATTAGGCATAAAGGCTGTCAAACACTTTTTTTTAATCTCTGGTATGGGCTAGGAAGATGTTATGTCAAGAAATGTGGATTTATAATTCTTTTACTGACTTGGTGAGCATATCCACTTGTTGCATTACATCTTCAATTGAAGAGCTTTTACTAGCAATGTTTGTGGTTGAGACGATATGGTCTTGTAACGTAACAACATAATTTGGTTGCTAGTCGTTGTAGTCTTGAAAGAGTTTTCTGTTACAGACCACCAGATCTGAGATTTTCTTTAGCAATTTTAACGGTTTGTGATCTCCGAACTGTATATCAGTTAATGTTTTATGTAACCCTAACCATGTTTCACTGCTCTCAGTGAAACGAATAATAATTGCGTTTTTTAGTGGTAGGTATTAAGATTATTTATATCCAAAGACAACATCTCGTTCACCTGCTCGAGTGTCCAAAGCAGAATATATGGTTGCATTTTGTAGAATACGTTAATTTTCCGGAAAGTCTTTACTTGAGTCAAAACTCCTTGAAAGCTGATTGTTTGCCGCTGGTGCCGTACCTGGATCATTATCATCGTTATTATTCATGTTGCTTCGTCGAGGTTACCAATTATTATGAATACATCAGAAATGTATTGATTGTTACAGTTCGCTAACGACTACTGAAAGTACAATTACATTAAAAATTCAACTATTTTTCACATTCCTTCTCGTTCCCCTTACCCGTATCAATCTGCTACTTTTCTTTTTTATATACTTGTGACACCCTGCATATGGTAATTGTTTAGAGCCGAAATTATTGGAGTACGGGTATCATAGAGATCTAGAATTGAAGTGTTTAGGATCACTATTTCAAATTCTACATTACGATCTATTATATATTTAGTAATTTTCACGTTGCAAAAAACAGTTCGGATCGGATACTCCTAATTTCCTTTTTAGCGTCACCTTTTTCAAGTCACCCCACTGAATAAATAAGTACACATTTTAGCTTCGTGAATGTGACTGATTCGCACAAGAAAGGAGGTGAAAAGAATTCGGTGTCAACTACATCGTTACGGTTATTCGTACGTCGCTCTTCGTATTAAATTGAAATAAAATAAAAGTTTCTGTATTGAGCACTTTGAGAGGATGTCATCGTCGCAGATTGCATAAACTTTACAATCAATTTCAATTTAACTTGCGAAACTTTATTCTCAAGGAGTATTTTAAGAATTTACATATATTTTCCATTTGATGTATTATCTCTAAGGTAAAGATACTTTTGCAACGGCATTCTTTTGAAAACACTTTCTCGAGGTGTAACTAAATATCGAATGCGCGCCGTTTTTTTTCTTCTCCAAGACAAATAATGTAACAAACAGGAACGACGACGACAGCAGATACCTACCTTCTAACCCATGAAATATGGAATTACACAAAAGAACTCAAATCACAATAGAGATTTCATACTCTGTAAAGAAAATTGGAAGATTTTAGAAATCCGGGGCTTGTTTTTCAGGTTCAATAGCCAGAAAAATCAGAAAAGAAAGTATACGCTCCGTAAATAAAATACGGACTGGATCATAAATTTCTATTGAATCTATATATAACTAATAAATAAAAGGTTACTGATGAAAAATGTTACGGTACTGTTAGAATCGTTCAATAATAGTTAATAATTTATTGGTGTAATTGTGCTGTTGCCATATTATATGCTTCTAAATTTCATTTCGCAACTACGCAATTAGTTACAATTGGAGCGATAAATCAATTTGTTTCGTTTGTATTAATTCATAATTATGTAATAAAAGTTTGTATTGGTGCCTATATGTAGTTTTTACGCGAAAATCGCATATATAAGAATGCGTACTAATACTAAACGCATTTTAAAGATAATACGGCCCAGCAGATTAGCAAAAAATGAACAGGTTAAAGTATAATTTTATACCTTTGAGAAGAAAATTGTAGGTACTATTTGCATTGATGCAAGCTGTGCATTGTATCGACAGAGGATTTAAACAAAACAGTCGTATTTTTGTTACAAAATATCACAAAAGAGTAATTATTTGATGAAATTGTTGCAGTCAGGACTAAGTACTTATAGATGAAAATTTATTTAAGATAAATTAAAAGTGGGGTAACTACATACAGCGTGTATTATATAGCATGAACTTGCAAGGGGGATGAAGTATTCCGTTATCCAAATCGAAATTACAAAATATGTCAAGTGTTCGGTTTGGAATGCAAATGGCTCTTACATACAAAACCACTATGATGGACATTTACAAGCACGTAAAATCGGGCATTGTTTTATGTAATTGCCAGTCTAATTCTGTTAAAGTTTAGTAGCTATTTTAAGGGGCAATGTGTGAACAAACGGAGCAGGTCTGATTGCCGAGTACAATTTCTGAATACTGCTACACAGAACAACAATCCATTTAGCTTATCGAATGTAAAAGTGCATTAGCGTAGACGTTGTACGAAAAGCAGGTAACAACAACATCTGAAGTACACCATATGTCCAAGATAACATAAAAAGGGGTAAATTTTCGTGGGTGGTCATAATCAGTAATTACAGACTGGTATAAGGGGAAAAAGCTTAAAAATGTTAATTTATGGATTGTTCTTGACCTGCTTGTTCTCGAAGTACACTATATTGAGGTTGCTATAAATTTGTAAAGGAAGGTAGGTATAACATTTACGGTTTACCTGCGTTGCATTACAATCGTATACCTGAAACTCGCCGAGTTGGTATTGTTAAATTTTCGGCACTGTTAATTGTAGATTATTATTGCACTTGGGGACGGGGTCGATACACCTCCTAAATTACTATATGGCGGGTTGCTGTTTCTATACTTGAATATATTGCGTTTATGGGAACCTTAAAGATGTTTCGAGACACATGTTCGAAATCTGTCTTGTTTATTGAATAATTATGAGAAAATGAATGGAAAAGATACTCCATACTTCAAAATAAAATGCAACTGCCTCATTTTTCCTTCGCCGTTAAAAGAAAAGATATCTAACTTACCACCTCCATTTCGCAACTATAAGTTCACTCCTCTCAGTAAACCCTGATTAGCCTAAGTTGCTTCACCCTTCTTCTTGGTTCCAGATAACTATCACCAAGGAACTGGTGTCCGTCTCTGATCAAGGGTCATGCTCGGTAGTTAATTGTTTCTCTACGGAACCTGCACGTGGGCTCTCCTACAAGCCCAATGCCATGCAGGTGATAGATGACCATCCACTGCCCCGTGAAGACCACAATGATCGACCTAACCTCGCCTTTATTCGGTTTTCGAAGCTTAGAAAAGCCAGATTTGCCAAGGGGCCCTGTTAAGAAGGCCTTGGATTGTTCAGTTGGTTGCTGCCACTGAGCCTGGAATTGAGAGGGAAGCCTACCCAATAAATAAAATGTTTTTTTGATCTTTTATTACAATTGTAATCGTCAGCTCTCGGTCGATCCCCATACATGTCCATACTCTCTCCCCCCCTTTCCGTTAGGGATCCGTCTGTAAACCACACGAGTCCGTCTAGTAGCCGAGAAGTTCATCTCCGTCGTTAGAATTAAGGATATAATGGCCCTGCTTACGAGCATGGCGCGGATCCATCTTGCGATTGACCAGTTCCGGATTTAGGGGGGGGGGGGCTATGGGACTATTAGCCCCCGGCGGTAAATTTTGAGAGGCGGTATGTCGTCGCTCCCATCACTTATTAATTCTAAATATAGATATTTAATTTATGGGGTTCAGTTTCTGAAATAGCATGGTAAGAAAACTTTGTCTCTTCACCTATAAGATCGATGCCGGGTTCGGGCTGACGGCGGTAGCAGGTCGCTCCAAAACCCTAGCAAAAACACGTTTTATGTTTTCGGGAAATCTACACTTTGCTGACAAACGATAAAGAGACGCTTTATTACCTCATCATCGGTTATCTACCTCTATTTTCCATTGACTATATTGTTGGGCACATTTACTTGTTAAACCCTTATTACAAACAATTATTAATCGGCAGAGCAAAGCGATGTAAGCTTTATAGGGGAGTTGATGGTGTCCGTCTGTCTGTCCGCGAACACGATAACTGCCAAACGAATGGACCGATTCGATTCAAACTTTGCACAGTTGACTTACATGCCACAATTTAACAATCCTATTGAAAATGGTTGAATTCAATGTTCCCGTAGGGTCAAACCGATGTGCTCTGCTGCTTTTTTACACCAACTTTAGGGGTTTATTAAGCGGCAGAGCAAAGCGATGCAAGCTTTATAGGGGAGTCGATGGTGCCCATCTGTCCGTCTGTCCGTGAACACGATAACTGTCAAACGCTTGAACCGATTTGTTTCAACCTTTGCACATAATAATAATAATAATATTTATTGATTATTAAGTATTCAAAAGGACAAGATTCGGCAAAGCCGGTTTTCAATCCTGCCTAAAAAAACAGTTGACCTCTATGCCACATGTAATAAGCCTATTGAAAATGGGACACATCCAATGACCTCGTGGGGTCACGCTTCTCTGCCCCTGCCAAACGATTGAAGCTATTTGGTTCAAACCAGGGACGGACCTAGACAAAAAAATTGGGGGGGCAGACATGACATTTTGCCAACTCAATAATAAAAATTTCCAACTCAAACGGGTAGTATCGTATAAGGCGTGTCAGCAGTATGCACTGGGAAGTTTTCTGTGTTATTTGAGCTCTTATCAGATTGCGGATTCCAC